TTATGGACATTCTGGTTGTAGGCGTAATGCCTTGTTATATGGTTGCTATGGTTGTGCTGTAGTCCATAATAGATGCATTTCATGGCATAGCATTTGGCCTGGATTGGCGACGGTTGTGCCTGTATTGGCGTTATTTGGAGTGTTGGCTCCTAGATGGGTTCGGGGTGTTGGCCCTGTCCCGAGTTTTGGGGTGTTGGCTCCTAAATGGTACCACATGCATGTGCACAGTTGAGTCACATTGTTGAGTCGCATGAAGTCGCATAATTACGCTAGTTGTATGTTAATGTTGTTTATGTGAGATATAGATTACTCGCAGTTGTTGTCGATGATGTTTATGATTTCGAAACCTATAATGATGTGATGAGTTTTCGGCATGTTTTCTATCATGCTTTATGTTATATTATTGATATCTCACCCTTTTCCGTTGTATGTTACCTCCCTTGGTGGTAATTTGCAGGTAGTCAGGAATAGAGCGTAGTTCCCGTTAAGGTGTCGTTGGTCGCTCTGATACGTAGCACTCTTGGGGGGATGGACGATTGCTGTTATTATTTTAGTCGATGTTATTGTTGATTGAACTTTTTACGATGTTTTTATTAAATTGCTTTAAGAGAACATGTTGTATACTTTATCGAACTTCCACCGGAAGTAATGACAAGTTGTTTTATGATTACATGATTAAGTAATACATGGGTGATTGTTCATCCAATTTCGTGCTATGTATGATATTTGCAAGTTGTTGCATAATGATTGTTGTCTGTCAGGTCGAAGTGTAACATCTCTAATGTGAGGAATTTTGCCCGTGTGACGACCGTCACAGGCTCATGACGACCGTCATACAGTCAATGTTTGCGCTGCTGCGCTTTGTTTGCTATATGAATTGTTGTTTTTCCTGTTATCCGCAAGTTTAGATTTGGGGTGTTACATAGGAAGTGGTGACGTATCTCAATATGTTTAGTGCGAGAGTGTAACATCAGATTTTTGTTAGACTAATAACACTAATATTATCGTACGTAATAGGCATAAGTTGTAGTTTAATGTCAAAATCAAGTGGTTGTTGTTTGAGCCACAGTATTTGATGACAACAACTACCATTTGCGATGTATTCTGCCTTAGTGGTTGACAAAGAAACAAAAACTTGTTTCTTGTTATGCCAACTTACTAAGGAGTTTAAAAACATTTAACAAGTTCTACTAGTACTCTTCTTATCCGATTTGTAATCGGAAAAACGAGGATTGTTATAACCAACAAAATTACAACCGCTTCCCTTGGAATACCAAATCCCATACTTAGAAGTACCAAGAAGGTATCTAAGGATGCACTTTACGAATTTTAAATGTGATTTTTTAGGAGCCGATTGATAATGAGTGCACATACACTCGCTAAACATAATGTCCAACCTAGTTGCAGTAAGATATATAAGAGAACCAAACATGCCTCTATACTTCTTGACATCAAAATCTTACCATTTTCATCTTTTTCCAAGTTTCCATTTATGGGCATTAAAATGTCAATTGATTTTGCATCTTCCATACCAAATTTCTTTAGCAATTCGTTGCAATATTTTTTTAACGCATAAACATCCCTTCGTTGATTTGCTTGATTTGAAGACCGGAGAAGTAGTTCAACTCCTCCATGAGACTCACCTCAAATTCACCCTGCATTAGCTTAGAAAACTCCTTGACTAATTACATGTTAGTGGAACCAAAAATGATATCATCAACATAAAATTGAACTAGAAGAGTGTGTTTTTCTTGATGTTTAATGAAAAGTGTAGTATCTACCTTCCACCTAGAGTATCCTTGTTTGATTAAGAACTTACTAAGTCACTCATACCAAGCCCTAGGGTTTTTTGTGAGACCATACAAAGCTCGCTTTAGTTTATAAACATGATTAGGATACTCATGATTTTTAAAAACTAGGAGGTTGTGAAACACATACTTCCTCTTTAATATATCCATCAAGGAAAACACTTTTCATGTCCATTTGAAATAACTTGAAATCTTTAGAGCAAGCATAAAATATTAACATTATAGAAAACATGTGAAATATTAAGATGAACTCACTAAAAACATATTGAATGGAGCACACCATGGTTATCATTTGAGATTTTTAGAAATGAACACTCATAACATGTATCATACACCAAGTATATCATATTCCTTTGAAAAATAAACAGGTAAAAGAAATGACTTATTTATAAAGAAGAGTTTGAAACGATATTACCTCACTATACGAATGGCACATGATGCACAAGTATTTCACAAGGAACTCTCGAACGAAAGTTGGAACAAATGCAAAACATGCCACAACAACTTTTGACATCAACGTTCTTACCACTTTTCTCTTTGTAAAAGTACCCGATAATGTGATTTGTAACGTATCCAAGAAATTTATTGATTTGATGATCAATCTTTTTGGTTGGACTTTTATTCTTGTCTTTTTTGTGATACTTATCTTGCTCCTCCTTAGGTTTCATTGTCATAGGTTGACCAATCCCTTATTTTATGTTCTTGAGTATGTATTTTGAAGATGCACCTACATCATGAAACAAAATACCTTTTTCGAGGTTTCTCATATGGGAAACATTAAAAGTAATCTACACACTTTTACCAATTAATGAACACTAGTTGTTGACTTCCTTGGTCACACAACCCTTATTCCTTACCACACAGTTAATGAAATAGGGATATGCCATTCGTTATATGTCTTGAGCATACATAAATGAGATCCCATACTATCTTCATAGAGTCAATACATTTATCCTGCAAGATCAACAAAAAAATACTAGGTACCCAATCTTCATCGGGTCCTTAGGGGTGAGTGAAACTAAGGTTCGAAATTCTCGTCATCACTTGTTTCACAATAACTTTTTTCATTGGTTGTGGACTTTGAACTTGAAGCCTTTAGAGCAATAAACTTCTTTTATACCTTATTGTCCTTGTCTTTCTCCTTCTTTATCTTCTTCTCATGCTTTATCTCATGTTTTTCCAAACAAGCGACTCCTTGTTCACGTTCTTCTAGTTTGCCAAATAAAGTTATGAGATTAAGTGTTCTAAGATCATTCTCTTTTTTGATTGCGGCGATCTTAAGTCGTCATTCCCTATTAAGACACCTTAAAACATTATTAGTAGCAATATTATTGAAAATAGGCTTATCTTGAGCATTCAAATGATTTATAAGATGTATGAACCTCTTTTGCATGTCGACAATGGTTTCACCATGCTTCATGCGAAATAGTTCAAACTCTTGATTTAAGGTATTGATCCTAACTTGTTTGACTTGATTATTTTCCTCATGGGTAATTTATAATGCGTTCCACATAGCTTTGGCGATATCACAATGAGAGCCACAATAATATTTATCAACACCAAGTGCATATATCAATATATTTTGTGCCTTCCAATCATGTGACCACAATTTCTTATCATTATCATCCCATTGTGCTCCCGGTTTTGGTACGAAGGCACCTTCACCATTGGTCATTGTAATTTGATTATTACCATTGATGATAACGTTCCATACACCTTTATCAACCGAGTCGATATAGATACACATACAAGCTTTTCAATAGTTTTTTTAGGTTCAATAACCATGATCTAATAAGCGAATATTGAAGCACGAAATTAACCAGAGCTCTGATATCACTTGTTAGACGAAGATGACTTATCTAGAAAGGGTGAATATATTGCAAGTTAAAAAATTGCTTTACAAAACTGTTTTAAAAAATCAACGGCTAACGGAAGTGACCCGGGTCGAATCGTATAAACCGATCTGCTATAAAAAAACTCAGATATGCATATATGAAAACCAATCGAAGAGAATGATAAACAATTCAATCAATATTCTTTAATCACAATCACTTGAATTCAACTCAACAAGTAAAGTTATTTCCAATGATAACAAACACAAAAACTTAATTGAGATAAATTGTCAAACACCTTATGTGCCTTCAATTTCGTTTAGAATTCTGTATGTTTTTTTTAATTTGCAAATCCAACCACAAACAAATAGATTGTGATCAACTAAACAAAATCTTTTTCAAAGGTTATCAAAAGGTTTAACTAAACATATTGATTGCACACTCGAAGAATTCAACAATTTGCCCAAATCCACTTCACTTGATCCAATGTATAAAAGTTATCTCACACTCAAAGCAAGATACACTTTTTAATCTCACTTTTTACTACAATCATCTTGAATTTTGAACTAATTTGAACGTTGAAGTGCTAACCTTGCAGGTCCACCCCTACGCCACCGCTTGTGAGATCAACACCACCAGCTCAAAATGTCTCACAACGTACTTCAACTATTTTTGATTCCAATATGAAACAAATGGTATATTTATAACTGGGCTTAAGCTAACAATTACTAACAAACAAGTAATAAAAAAAATTTACGGTGTAATTGATTTGCAGAAAAATAAGAGACCGAACATGACAATTTTTGTTATACTATTCCATTTAATTTATAATCTAATCGTGAGACATAATAAAATCACGTATCTCAAAATAATATAAAAACGTGAATCTTATCTCTTACGTAACAACTTTTAACTTAAGTATATCAATATATAATTATTTTAAATTTTCTACTTAAAAAATATAATCTTAAATTTCGCTTCTCTCTTATATCTTTCTCTTTCCCTCTCTACTTCCATTCTATTCTTTCACAATTGCTGTCTCTCTCTCCATTCAATATATATCTCTCTAGTCTTTCATATGTTTTGTATTGTTTAGACTAATATTTATTTACTATGTTGTGCAAAAAAAAAAAACACTTTTAATATATTTAACTTTTTATCATTTGCGTTAATTACTTTTAATGAATTTTATATAATATATTTTTTATTTATAAAAGGATAAATTTGGTATTACATGTCTATTTTTCTTAGACAGTGTTGTACTCCATGAAAAATCAGTGCATATAAAGAGAGGAAAACGAACTTATTTTCAATAACCTAATTCACATCCCAATAGCATTTCTTTGCGTATAATCGAAAGATGGACGAGGAGGAGCATGAGGTTTACGGAGGAGAGATCCCAGACGTCGGAGAGATGGAAGGAGACGTCGACATGCCCGCCGCCGACGATGATGCCAGCGGTATGAAGGAGCTCGACGAGATGAGGCGGCGCTTGAAAGAAATGGAAGATGAAGCCGCCGCTCTTCGCGATATGCATGCCAAGGTCGAGAAGGAGATCGGTTCGACTCCAGGTTTTCATAATCCTCTCTAATTCGTTTTATTTATCTAATCGTATTTCGTTAATCACTCTTGAAAACCTTGTTGAATAATCTATAATCCAATTCAACGTCATCGTGTGCAATTATCTCACTACTGTTTCAGCTTTTAGCTTTTACGTTTGAACTACACTCGTGAACACGATCATCATTGATATTGTTGATATAATGAAATTAAGAATAACTTGTATTATAATTAAAAATCTTGCTTTGAAATTCGAAATTGTGTTTCGGAGTTGCGATTCAAAGCAAATTGAAGTCTTATGATGCTTTTGGTTTTTCTTAAGTCATTGATTGTATTTCTTTTGTAGATCCTGCTGCTGCAGCTGGTTCTCAGGATAACAAGGAGGAGGCAGATGCTCGTTCTGTTTTTGTTGGCAATGTATGGATCTCTCTATTTCATATCTTTTACAGTTTTTCTTCTTTATGTGCAAGTTTTGATACTACTCTTATTTATTTGGATGTAAAAATCTGACTCTGTTTTCCTAATCGACTTAATGGGTGACGCCTGGTTTAGCTATTATGAACTAGTTTAGTAGTCTTGTATACGAAAAACGTAAATACTTTCCTCTCATGATCAAAAAAATAAATATGAAAATAAGAAAGGCGGTAGTTTGTTGCCTTTTAAGAATCCTAATCACCCTACACATATGCATTTTCGTTTATACGAAGAATATAGAAATCGGAGAAATAGACCGAGTGGGCAATCATCTCTTCCAACTTGTTATTTTTTGTCGTCTTCACCTTAACTGTCCTCTATGTGGAATACAACTTCTTCGCCCAATAAATTTTTAATTTATATCCCTGTTAATAGCTCCACCCGCTGCGTTTACGGTATAGTTTGTCACAGTGTTAGCTTGATTCTTTCTGTTCACATAAATGTCCTCGTTAGACCAAATGAATGCCATGTAAGCTTGTCTCTTAATTAGAATTGTCAAATTGCAGCTATAGTAGACCTCTAGCGTTAGACCAAATCACTATTGTTCCACAATACTACTATTTAGTACAAACTGTTGTCAAGTAGTGGTTATTAGGGCTGTTCAAAAAATCCACAGAACCTAACTGAACCATAGAACCAAACTGAACCGTTGTTAAATAACCAAACTGTTCTCTCTAGTCTATGAACCGAACCACAGTTTATTAAACAGTTCAATAACCGAATGGAACCACAGTTTATTAAACAATTCAATAACTGAACTGAACCGCAGTTAACCGAACCAAAACCTACTGAATCGAACTACAATTAACTAACCATAACTATATTAATGGTATGATATTAATTGGTTATGTTGGAACTTTGGTTAACCAGGATTTTTTTCAAATTGATTTTTTGATATTGAAGTTTATTTTAAATATGAAAACTATATTTTTTTTTGAAATCAAGTTTTTAACAGTAATAATATTAATGACATTAGTGATAAAAAATATTTACAAAATGATTTAAAAATGTCATTCCTTAACTGAAATCAAACTCTGGTTTTGAAATACAACACTACTGAGATATTTGATCACAATGTATGATATTTGATCAAACTCTCTTTTCTTTCCACACATAAACTTTTTTTTTCTTCCATTTTTTAATCATATTGTATGATATTTGATTGCAATAGGAAATGTTGAGATTAAGCAACATATTTAATGGGGATTTTTTTTAATTTAAACTTTTAAAGAATTATTTAATAGAAAAAATTCAAAAAATAAATAAATAATGGTTCAGTTTAGTACGGTTCAGAATTAAGAACTGGTATACCAAACCAATTGATTTGGTTCAGTTTGGTTCTGACAAATCATAACGGTTCAGTTTGGTTCTTGTACTCTTTTTTTATGGTTTGGTTCGGTACAATTCGGTTCTCTGAATGAACCATACCATGAACAGCCCTATCAACAACACTGGTATGGAAGAGGAATTTATAGAGAAGAGGAAGGTTTATAGTAAGGAAGAGAAATTTATAGAGAAGAGGAAGGCTGCTGGTAGACGGTTGGTTTTTTGAGAAGAAGTTATACCGAATCATAATTATCCATGTTAATCTGTTTTTTTTTTCAAAGGAGTGTGAAAAGATGTGTCAATAATGCCTAATTAATATTAATAAATATTAATTATGGGCTTTAAGTGAACCCAACGCATATCCAGCTCATTTTAAAAATTTAGTTTTTTTTTCTTTTCAAAAAACCTAAAAATAAAAAGTGCCGCAACATAAAATTCTGAATGAGTTCGCTGATCAACTTGTGCGAGTTCGCCGAGTTCACCTACTACTAGTCAACTCATGAGTTTGCATACACGGATATAAATGCTCAAGAATTAACAATTACCTTAATTTAAACTTTAAAAACATTCATAATTATTAATCAAAAGTTAGTATTAAGCTGAGCACACAAGTGAACAACAATAAAAGTCAAGGATCATAAAGGGGAAAAATCAGAAAAAGTGCCACTTCAAAATTAAAAGTTGAAAGGCAACTTTGATGAATAGGCGAACATGTTTGTTACCTCTCTTGAAACAAAAAACAACACAACCATTTATATATAAGTATAACACTAAAAATGAGAAATAGAACGAATAAAAGCTGAAAAATTTAACAGACAACTCTCTGAATTCGCAAGGATGTGAACTGAACAGAGACCAATGACAGTTGTGGTCTGATGCATGAAATGAGGATTAGCTGGAAACAATGTCATCTTGCTGCTGAGTTGTCCGGAAATGCTGTTAGAGAGTTGGTTTGGAGTCTAAAAAGAAACCGTCCAGTTGATCAAGATGTGCAACCAAGATTAGACCCATGCGCTTTTGCACTTCTTGAAAAATACTATATTCCATTTTCTTGTTCCAAGTACTTATTGTATTCTGGTTAATCAAGAACTTGTTACTCTCGACTGTGTCCAAGAGTCTGTATAACTTCAGTAACACATTTAAATTTGTTCATACACCCTATTAGGGTAAATGCTTTTCAAAAAGCATTTGTAACTATTCATGTAGTCGTATGAATTTGAGGCTTTCATTGGTTGTAAGTGGTGGAAAAGAGAGGTCATCTTTTGTCACTCAGATAGTGCTGGGAGAGGATGACACATTTTTTCTAAAACCAGACTCATTTCTATGGATTTCTGGCTGAATTGTATAGATTCATTTCGTATTACATTCTTTTATTATAATTTATTTAAAACTGTACATTTTTTGTTTGGAGTGATTACTGACAATCTTCAGAGACAGGGTTTGACATATGTGTCACTATGATCGCAGGGTTGTTATTACTCAAGTCCTATAATAACCGCTGGATGCTAACATTGTATTTTGTGGGTGGGCGTCGGTGTTTTTTAGGCTCATAGTAGTGGGGGGAAAAGATTGTATATTGTTATGAAATTTAGTAAGATACAGTGTTACTAAAAAGAAAAGAATAGAGAAAAGAAAGTAGAAAAGATTGAGAAGAAAAACTTGTAAGTTTATGAAAAAAAAATACCAAAGAAAAAATAGAATGAAGTTGAAAAAAGAAAAGAAAAAAGAAAAGAAAGAAAAAAGAAATGAGAATGGAAAAGAAAAAAAAAGAGATAAGAAAAGAAGAATAAAGAACACTGAGGAAACTGGGAATGGCATCTCTTATGAGAATGGCAGAATAGTACAGCTGAAGGTAGTATGCATTAATGATGATTCAACTTTACAACTGGAGGAGACAGCTTTTGGTTCTTCTGGAAGAACCTTCTGAAGTTTTGGGCATCCATAGTCATAGAGTCCTTTTGTTCACTGCAATTAGGTCAGTGGTGCCTCTATTGTATCATTTGGCCAAAGTGCCAAAGGGTATGAAGCTGATGCTTCCTTTTGGTCTTTATCTCATAATTGTTTTCACGTTTATGAATCAGGCTTCCAAATTTTTTTTAGGCTTTTCCTTTTTCCTTTATATGTAGTATCTTACAAAAAAGTTTTTTTTTTGCAAAAGCAGTTGGATAACCAAGTGATTTCATTATCTATTGATTTTTTGTGCTGGATTCCTAAATTTTGTACAATTTAGGTAGTACAGTCTTCCTTATTTTTAGGTTACTTTAGATCTGATAAGGTTGTTGTTGTTGTAAATTACTATTATGAGGACAGTAAATAGTAGGATGTGTGAGAAAGCCCGTGGAGTTTGAGAAAATCCTGTAAAGTGACTATTATGAGGAAGACAGTAAATAGTAGGATGTGTGAGAAAGCCCGTGGAGTTTGAGAAAATAGCAGTTAGAATTCATAATGAAGCTTGTCATAAGCATACTTAGTTTTTTTTGGAGTTGGCTTGATTTGGTTTTACTGTTGGTGGTTTATGGAGTCAGAATTGATACAATAATCGTTTAATGTCTGAAGAAATGGGAATGAAGATTCATGTTGTAGTTGTAGTTAAAAGTAATAGTCGTGCACGGATTTTTCAGCTCTAAAAGGGTGCCTTGACAATGACATTATAGGGTAGAGAATGTTAGTTCTGATATATTCAGTGATCTCTCTACTAGTTTTTTGATACATTCCATATCAAAAAGATCATGAATGTGCAATAGTTTTAAATTTCACACTTTTATATATTGCATTTCTAGAAAGGTTGCAGTTCAGTTGTAGATGATAAGGTTTGAATCCCTAAAGATTGTTGTTTTTTTTTTGTAAAAAAAGTATAGTTGATAAAACAGTTTTACCAAGACAAGAGTCTTGCATATATGTGATCTATAATAGTGTGATTATTATGGAGTCTAGTTTATTTTCTTATGATAAATGAATCAGGTATGAGCTTATCTGGATTAAACTTGATATCTAACCCACATTGGCACCAAAATGCCTTGAAACTCATATGTTTACAGGTTGATTATGCATGCACTCCAGAGGAAGTGCAGCAACACTTTCAGTCATGTGGTACAGTGAACAGGGTCACTATCCTGACAGACAAGTTTGGTCAGCCTAAAGGTTTTGCCTATGTGGAATTTGTTGAAACTGAAGCTGTTCAAGAAGCTATCCTGTTGACTGAAACTGAATTACATGGCCGACAATTGAAAGTATGTGTTCTTAAATTCATGTGAACCTGATTTAAATTAGTCATCAGATCAGTGTAGTGAATTTGTAGTTTTTAATGATATGGATGTCTATGTTTTCAGGTTCTGCCTAAGAGGACCAATGTTCCTGGAATGAAACAATACCGTCCTAGGCGATTCAATCCTTACATGGCGTACGGCTTCAGGAGGCCTTATACTCCTCCTCACATGTACTCCCCTTACGGATATGGGTAGGCTGCATGCCTCATTTAAATTTCTGTATGCTATGCTCAATTGTTAGTTATAATTGACATTTTGTGGTTTCTTTTATTTTGCATCAAAATGCAGGAAGGCTCCTAGGTTTAGAAGGCCAAATCGTTACATGCCATACTATTAGACGTTCATATGGAATGGTGTTCAAGATTTTGATGATAGTGTGTCCTGGAGTAGTAATATTTAAATCCGGGGAGCATTCAGCTATACTAATCTACGTCAGCATAATATACACTGTGATCAAGAACAGTTATTATCCATTTGTCCTGGGATGTTGTTGGTCTCGTACTTTTTCTTTCTCAATTTCTGGAATTTGGTTTAAAATTGCCTTTGAATTTAAACTTAGTGAACTTATACTACAGCAATGTCAGTTGAGTTTATACTGACCACAGATATATGCTGCAGTAAATTCATCCGGCTCTTTAACTGTTCAGTGGTGCCAAAGCTTGAGTATATGCATGTTGATGAAATTTATATCATGTATCTGAATTGAAATTTAGTATTTTGGGTTATGATTTATGACATATTAGTTGTCAGATAATTTTAATCTTTATAAACACCTGCATGGCTGCATATGTTCTCTTCATTCAAGCAGGAGAGAAATGATTGTTAATTAGAACTGGCCAGTGAATTGAGTCCCTGTTCTGGTGTGACAAAAGAAAAGGTCCGTTTGAAGACACTTTAGTAGAAGGTGCCTTGAGCCATGATGCAATCTCTAGGACTCCGTCTTCTTGAGTTATAAAGGGAGTCCCATTGAGTGCTAGGGTTGCAATCCAGCTAGCCATTATTTTTGTTAGTTGTAGGAGTTTATCCCAAAATTTTCACTCAAATCGTCCCTAGTCTCAACTGGCCGTCTTATTGTTTTTTCCAAACATAGACAATTTGAAGATTCACAATCTGATTTTGTGGAGGTTGTTCAAGGGTTGATCATTGTTTGACAATCTGATTTTGGTTGATCAATCAATCAAGCTTGTTTCATAATGATTGAATTTTAGAGTTCATTTTCTTAGGTGGTTGATAAGTCAAGGTTTTGATAGCACTGTTAGAGTTGAGGTGGATGGCTTGTCTTGGGATTGTGTCTTTGACCGAAGGCTATTATTATGTTTAGTAAGTCGATCAATAAAGCTTTGGTGTTTAGCAGTAGATTTTCACTTGAATTATTTGACCTCCGAGACAAGCTAGTGGAGTTCTGAAGAAGATTGCAAACTATTTTTTATGGGAGCAAGGTTTTGAAAGCTTAGGCTTCACTTGGAGATAGGGGAAAAATTGGAGGGAATGTATAGCTTTGACTTTATTGAAAAATGGTCAATAATCAAACATCCTCTAACCATCGTGCAATTGTTATGGCAATACGAGTTGGATTTGCCTTATTTGACATTATAGATTACTAACAAACCTTGTTAAAATACAATAATATCTTTAGATTTTAGCGATCTCAAACACATATAGTTCATTTGTTTTTGAGATACTATGATTAAGTTTTGGAATAAATTTAGTTATAATATTAAGGCGTAATTCAAACGAATGAACTGTATGTGTATGAGGTGTGTTTGAAGATGCATTTTTAAAAACTGAGATATTTTTAAAATTTTATTGAGTTCTTTTCAACCTCATAGGATGTTAGGAATCCATTTTAGGAGATGTCGAAAACTAAAAAGCATTATTCTTAATGCACCATGTAGATTACAAACACATATCAAGTGAAAATAAAGAAATTCTTTAATTTTTGTTATGTCTAACAAGTTTAATTTGTGAATTTCCAACTACCATTTGTTCTACCTAATTCATTAAAAGAAGGGAGGTAATGACATGTGCGGGGAATTTCATACCAAGGACTTTGCAATCATGAGTATAAGCTCGTTTTATACCTAAGGACCTTGCAATCACGAGTATAAGCGTTTAGCTGAATTATTCATTTCTTGTGAGAAAAAGATAAATGTTATTATGTGATCTTACCGGATCAGAAAAGGATCAACAATCTATAATACGTCGTGAGTCTATAATTTGCCCGTGGTGGAGAAGAGGAGGGGGGTATACCTGCAAGGTACTCTGATATCAAAGTAAGAGACGAAGTAGAAAGAGCAAGTACAGAAAAAAGAGCAAGTACAGAAAAAAGAGCAAGTACAGAAAAATATGTAGAGAATAGAATACCTGACCCTCTAGTGAAAGAGGGTATTTATAATGTATCTCCAACGCTGAGCCAACTGTTACTTTGCATTGGGTTGGATTGCAATGCCCAATATGAGTAACTGCTAGAGTTTACGTGACGTAGGGAAGACCAACATGTGGTCTTCGTTCTAGATCAACTACCCCGTGATCTTCGGAAGGTGGATAGTTGTCTGATGACATGTCCCTGCGTGGGGAGCACGTGGAGGAGACGTGCAGGAGCTTCCCGTGTGCGTTGATGGATTGGGCCTTCATTGGACCCTCTCGACGAGGAGATGTGTTGGGTCGTGCTCGGCCGCTCCGCACCAAAGGAGTAATGACTTAAGAGGGAGTTCAAATGTCGAGGACCTATCCGGGGGGAGCGTTATGCGCGTCCGAAACACTGAACTCCGGGACGAAACGCGTGGCCAGGTGAAGGAACTACTCGACAAGACAAGAGCTCGCGGGAAGGCCTGTCCGGCAAATGTAGTCTTGGCTCTCTTCCTACTTCCCCGAGGATATTTCCCGGCGGGTGATTTGGCCGACGATGTGATGAAAACGAAAAGGAACGGGCAACTCTGATCTCGAGCAGGATAGGGAGTTGGAAGGACATGTGTGGTGTCTTCTAAGGCCACGTGTCAAGAGTAACAAATGCGTAGTACGACTACGAGTAGGGGTACTTGAGTTCCTAGTGATGCCTCGTTTCCCGTGCTAGGGTTATAAATAAGGGGGAAGTCTGCTTCATTTGTACGCTCCCCTTCATTTCGCTCAGGAACTTTTCCCAAGTCTCTCAAAGCTCTCTTTGCTCTTCGAAGAATGCTCGCCGTCGCAGCCGCCTTCATCCTTCCTCGTCGTCTAGAATCTTCCTCCCTCAAGTAAGTCTTTAACCTTTCTTCAGATTTTATGAATTTTTTGACAACTTATGCATTTTCTGGCGGTTTCTCCGTGAAGCTCATATAGTTCCCGGGGAACGCATGAAGTTTCCGGCGAATTTCATGAAGTTTTCGGCGCTCCTATGAAGTTTTCGATAAAGACATCAGGAAGTCCATGAGGATTCTGGGGAACCTCATGAAGTTCTGATGAAGGCCTCGGGGACCCACAATGGAGGTCTCGGGGAGCCATGCTTCCCTTGAATGCGAACATTGCGAGGAGAGATCTTACACGTCGAGGAGACTTTTCGTCGAGAAGAAAGGATTTTTATCTCGCGTCGAGGAAAGTTTCCTCGTGGACGAGCCTTTCGATCGAGGAGGGAGGCTCGCTACAGTGCATTGAGGAGAGTGTGCCAAACGGATCCTCGCCCATCTCTTCGCTCTTTCACTTGATTTGCGGTGGAAGGGTGGATTTGATCTTGGATGTCGAATTCACCGTTTTCCTCTGCTTTTCAGGTAAAATGGCCGCAAGGATTGAGGGTGTTATTGTGATCGATGACAAATTCGAGTCCGATATCCCCTTCAAGCAAGTTTGATCCGAATAAACTCGCACGCCCGAAGACTGAGCCGAGCAGGAATCCCTTGGCATCGCATCGTGCTTTGCTGTCGATGACATCAACGCATTTGTCACTGTCGAGGACCATGCTGAGGGCTCTTCCCCGAGTTGGATGGTTTATAAGCCCAAAGAGAAACATCGTATTTGGTGAGGTTCAAGGGGATGAGGTTCCCGATGTATGAGTTCATGTTTCAAGAAGCGGGGCTTCGTCTGCCCTTTAGTGACTTACAGAAAGGAGTATTCCAATGGCTGCATCTGGCGCCTTCACAGATCCACCCCAACGCGATTGCATTGGTGAGAGCGTTTGAACTTGTGTGCTAGCACCTCTGTATTGGAGCCACGCTCCCCTTGTTCTTCCGTACTTTTCATTTACAACGATAATCTTTCCGAGGCCGGCATAACCGGGTTTCTCTAAAGCAGCCGAGGAAGTTGTTTCGAGCATATCTGGATTCTATCCATGCCTTTAAGGACAGGTGCTTTGTCGTGAATCTCGTGTTGCATGTGGTCGTTGACTCTCTATACAACCTCGTGTTTAAAGAGGAGGACGGGAAGCGAGAGGAGTTGTTGGAGTCGAAGTTTCCCCTTGAGTGGGAGGAGGACCACTTTAAGAAGGGCAGAAATAGCTACATCGTCAAGCTCGACGATCTGAACGCGGATGATTGGCTATCTTACGAAAATATAGTCGAGTTTGTCTTCGGTTTCACTCCCACTAAATGCGTTAGTAAGGGCGAGAGTTTTATTCTTAACGAGCGCGGGGAGGTTCGCCGTGAGCCTCAATGATTAACACCAAGGCCCTCCTCGAGTATGGTCTGACGAGGCGGCCTTGAGGTTCCTAGGTAGTGGGTGTTTCCTTCCGTTTGTTTTTCTTCGTCGTATTGACTCGTTTTTCTATTTCTCTCTTGCAGGCCAAATGTCGAACCTTCATAAGCGTGTGATGAAGCTCACAACAACCAAGGGCGCGAAGAAGGCTGCCAAGGGCAGAGTCGCTCAGGTCCAGAAGATGCTTAAGTCCGACCAACCAGCTCGTGGTTCCTCCTCCCTACAATGTATCCAGTCTCCTCCCTCGCAGGAAACTTCATCCAAAAGACGGTGCACCGATGACTCCGTACTTGTCGACCTTTTTGAGAACGTGCCCGGTGATAAGTTCATGCTGCCTCAATCGTGATTTCTTTCGTGGGGATAACTCTCTGACTGTGGTCGAGGCTGAGACCAAGGCAATCATGAGGATCTACAGGGCGATTAGGAGGAAGGCTTTGTCGGAGGACATGGCCGCTATGATGAGGATCTTCTAAATGATCTTGGTCCTTAATGATGAAACCAGCCCGAACTCCGAGCTGAAAAAACTGCAGATCAAGAACGATACCCTTTGTACGGAGAAAAATAAGGCGGAGAGCGACCTCCTTGAAGCTCAGACGAGGTACGAGAACCATGTGCATCTCCTCTAGGAGATGACCGTGATGCGAGAAACGCTGAAGGAAAACGAGGGGGAAAGGG